ACATCAAAGTGATCGAAAAATTTTAAAAGTTCGTTCGGTCGAAACCGACTGCACATTCGGACTTTTTATAGTCCTTTACTGTATACCCAATAAATTCTGAATACATGGGTAAGCAAAACGTTTTTGTAATATCAAGAGCCACATGTCTCTGACTTGTCCCATGATACCGTCGGTGGATCCGTTTATGTCTACGCTGAGTAACAAGTAAAACGCCGTTTTGTTTTGATAATCTTTTGGACATCGAACATAGACGATTAAACGTTTTTCAGATGTTCTCGATATTGCATCGTTCATAGCCCAGTACCCAATTCAAGAAGAATTATCTCTCCAACGTTTATCTTATACAGGTCTTTTTGCTTGTTTACTTAACAAATCTTTACTTAACGCAGCACTTATGTATTGTAAAAATACCATGACAACGTTACTGTTGTTAACTTAAGTTAGTTAAATTTAATCACGAAAAGTGAGATAATAATGACACAAGCCCCATAGTAGAAGTTGAAGCGATGAATGGTAACAAAATAAGAAAACCAGTGGAAGCCGATCTAGAGAAAGTAAAAGAGAATACATGGGAGTAAAACAAATAAAAAGAAAAAAGAGAAATAACACCTATAGAGTTGACTAAGAACATGGCTGAAAGTTACTGTGAAAGATATTTTGATCATGCAGTTTTAAAGAAAGACAAAGAAAAACAAATGACCGATTCTGGAAGGGTCGGTAATAGATGTATAGAAAAATTAAGAGAAAACCATTTACAAGAGGTGGAATACGAATGTATTTGGAATGATGACAGCGTAAGAAAGAATAATGAGAATATAGAATTGGATTAAAAGTACGAAGAGGGCTAAGATGATGATAAATTTTAAAAAATTGTACTAACTGAAAATATTTTCAACGAACAGAAAGATTCAGAAGAGAAAGCTGAGCTACAACTCATGTACCCGTTTGCGTTTGAATGCGTTTCGTAAAAACCTGGGTTTGAGTTGCATGCGTTTATGTAGGAGGAGCGTACCATTGCTGAGTTATTCGCTGAGCACCACTAGACAAGTCATCAATATTGTCCTTTAGTGATGTTCTCAGCGAATATCCTAGTAATGGTGCTTCGTCAGAAGGCAGAAACATGGGAAAATGAAATGGTATTGAAAACTTCTTTAAATATGAAACGTTCATCCAGTGAGTTTAAGTATCACCTTTTTAACTTTTGAGTGCTAGTGATATTAAAGCCAATGCACTTGGCCGTCGGTCCACGTATCACACTGCAGCGCCATCGAATGTCCACTGTACTGAATCATTCACATTTCAACACAGAACGAAGAAGTAAAACCGATTCCAGGTAGACCTTGTTCCATTCAACCTTTAAGGGCTTGAATAAATTTTATATTAGATAAATCGTATAAAATATTTAATTAAGATAGAAATTGCGTTTTCAGTAAGAAATGCGGAACAAAAATGTGATCAACTGCCACTATCTCATCCCTATTGGAAATGTATCCATTATACTATTTGTTGCTACCCAAAACTATAGCATTTAAGCCTCTGTTTTGTTTTACATATAAAAAATTAGAAAATGCGGAGAATGGGAAGCCGTAGAGCACCAACTGTACTGTACTTATCTAGAGATATCCTAATGTATCATACTATAATATTATACTTTCGAAGAAAAGTGACGAGCAGCAGTATAACTGCAAGATCTCAGACACTGAGCTAATCATTTCAGACAAAACAGTGTGGATCATTTAGAAGGTAGTAAGATGTCTGAGGTATATGAAAGGCTGCCAACCGAAATCTCTGCATTTTTGGAAATTATCGTATTTACTCAAAAACATTAGAGAATGGTAGAAAAACCGGAAAAAAGGAATTTTACTATTTCAATATTGGCTGCATTCGTCTCTGATACTAGCGTCGTCCCATCTGTTATAAATTTTCTAACAAGTGAACCAACAGACGTCATTCTGAAAATAGAATGATAATTCTCTATTGTATTGAAGAATGCCTGCATATTCAGAGCAGAGTGCCCAAATCTCCGAATTTGACCGGGCGATTTTTTTTTGACTTTTCTGATGAAAATTCTCCTGATTTCAGGAGCTGATTTTTAAGACTATCTCCTGGTTTCTCCTGATTTTCAATTGTTTTTCCGTATTGATTTTAGCGACATTTTGGGCCAATAAAAAAGCAGAGAAGAAAAAGAGCACTGGCATGCAATACAGTCATGTAGTACAACAAACCACAGACGGTGTAGCAAACAGTTTGTTCTCCATATGCGCTTTGTTTTTCTTTGGTTCTTGTCGATTTCTTAAGAAATATCGGTGTCTGTTTTGTTTATACTGTTAAATCAACAGCTGGGAAAATACCAGTAGAATACATTACATGTAATTATCTTTCTCTCCTTTTCTTTGTGTCGCTTGTAAGACGACTAAAGTCCCTTGCTAACATAGTACTTATTTTGATTTTTGCGCATATTGTAGATTTTCCAGCAGAAGCGAGTGAAAACTCGAACTGTTTGTTCGTTTACAGAGTTGTCCAAGTTTAGCAAAATTAAGGTTCTGTGACCTTTCGTTTGTGAAGTAATAATCTTCAGTCTAACAGTATTTTTCTGCCCATAGAGTAAGTAAAACTCATGCGTCTCCTCATTACGCTTTTTTTCGTTACCATTAACCACTTCTTGTATATCGTTTCATGTGCTTCTGTTAAGGCCTCCCCTCCCCCGAGGTCAGAAATGCCGATTTACGTCAAAAATATCGACTTTGAGAAAAGCACATGGTTGGATAGCCCACAGTGTCTACTTTCTAATGACATAATTTTTGTGTCGATAGGATAGATTTTTCATAAGTTTTGAGCGAGTTTTCCAGAAGCCCCATAGCTAAAAAAATGGCTTTTTTGCACTCGAATTTCATCATCATACTTTGACATGATCAACATTCCCTGAAAGTTTAGTTCAGATCAGACCTACCTGGGCTGAGATAGGGTTCTGACCCGGGAGGGGAGGCTTAAAGGGTTGTGCTTATTTGGCTACAACAATTAGTAGTCACCGTTACCGTCATACATATAACAATAAACGACATCTAACGTTTTTCTGATTTTCTTTAGATAATTTCTAACTGATGTAAATTATTCGATTTATGTAGGGACCTTGACTAAATATATTTGTGCGTGATAAAAATATGTCCAGTGGGATAAAATCAAGCAAATCACATTTTAGCAAATTTCTTAATCTGTTGGTCATAATGAACCAAAAGAAAGCAAATTAGGTTTTATAAAAACACCTGTGTAACAACAATAGGCTGTTAATAAACCGACATAGCATGAAAAGAGTTTGCCACGAAGAACGATGATGTTAATTGCTGTTGTTCATTATCTGAGTAAAACATCAACATAGTTCTATTGAAGAATGCAATGACTGACATTGTCAAAAGCAGAAGTTTTGAAACTTGTTGCGTTCTATTTAAAAAGATCTTGACCAAGACAAAATCATTCAATCAAATAATATTTATTAGTTCACATATGTCGACGAACGGTAAGTGGAATATGAAATATTCTTTTTTTTGTTAATAATGTATTTTTACATAGGCAGAATGCTTTAGAAAAGTGGACATAAAGTGTTATGTTTTTACGTATACATCGACAATAGAATGAAAAACTGCTGACATATGAGAAAAAAGTTGCTTGATTCTTATCGCGCACACACACATTTATTATAAACAAATTCTGGAAATCTGGTAACCAATTTTCGAGCATAGTGTAAAAAAATATGATTTTTTAATTATGTCGGACTGTTTTCATATGACATTTATTTGATGAATTGTTTCTTATCGAATGAATGAATAGTTAGAATAATAGAGCTTCGATTAAGTGATTTTTAATGTTGTGAAAAATTAGAAAGTATAATTTTATAACTTTTATCCACATTAACGAAGATATTATGCTTCAAAATAAGAAATTTTGGGTGCTTATATCATATTATACTCAACTGCTTATTAAACTCCAATCGATTTATTAATAAAAAATATAGTAAATGAAGTTGATATGATTTCATCCAAAACAACCGGAGTTATCGAGGACAAAGAATATGATTGTCGATCAGAGAGACGATGATATAGAATTGCATTGTACAAACAATGAAGTTAAAAGAAGGGCCATGCAAGTGTGAGAGACGGCATCATGAAAGCTGAAATAGATGATTATATTAAATTAATTTTCTTTAAAAGACAGCAAACTTCGCTCCTGCCACGTTATGTTGACAATTTTTATCTTCTAACGTTGAAAATTAGATTAAGAATTTAATTGATGACAAAAGTTGAATCGAGATGTATGTCATCCGTTTGTTGTAGGTAAGTTTAAGGATCATGGATTTTGGAGGTACGTCATCTCTGTTCACCTGTTTTTCTGTCATTCGTTAAAAATATTAGCGGTAATAATATCGATACCATCAGAGAATGTTCGTATCTTGATAATTTCAGAGTTTTATACCTTTAACTGTTTAACCTGTCTATAGTAATGCAAATTTAGCAATCGAATTGTTTAATAAATTTGTGTGCGATGATCTCATACAAATATAAAGATCGCACTGCGATCTTTATTCGTCTTGTTTTTTTTATATGATTTTCCATTGCTTGGATTTTTATACTGTGGCAAAGATCACATACGGAACATGGGTCGTGCAATTGTAAAGAATATCGATAAGCTTGTTATCGTAGGTCTTCCGGGAGTGCGAATAGTTCCGCTTCAGAACAAGAGCTGATTCATCATGGGAAATATGCGTTCAATATTCTTCTAATGAGGAGTTCCACAACATACCATAAATTTATTAGTTAAGAACGTCTTGATACTCTCTGATATGGCAAGTTTTAGGTTGATAACTAAATGTTTTATATTTCATTTGAACCTCATTGTGTGTGATTATGACAATTCGGTATATTACAGAGACTTTTGTAGATTTTATGTCAGTTCCACTCAAAAACCGATGGAGAAAGAAAAAATTCATTTTTGTAACATATAAATAAATGGTATTTGTGAGCAACTGAGTACATAAAGTCAATCCATGTATGAAAATGAACAGAATCAAATAGATCGGACATTACTGTTCTTTATATGATAGCCAATAGAGACCGAAACGGGTCAACCAAACGTGATCCGAATTTGACCAATAAAATGAATCAATACCTTATACGTTGGTCCGAATCCGACCGGAACAGACCCGAAAATTTTGCAACTGTGATCCGAACTAGATCCGACACATGAAAATATTTTCGTACACATTCGCAAGGAAACACTTCTTTTCTATAGAAAAGTTATCTTAGTTAGATTGTTTTGAAATGTTTTCAAAAAAATGGTCAGATTCCTTACGGTTTCCGTCAGTTTTTCCTTTTATGAGTGGAAAAGTTTAGGTAATTCAGGCAGTTTATTTTATATTGACCTGAGTTAGATCGAAGCGGGTCAACCAAAATGCGACCCGAACCCGACCTGACCCGTTTCGATCTCTGATAACCAACTGAAGTTATGTCATGCTCTTTTGTACTGTAATATAGTGACGTCTGTTTATATGTGACGTAGATGAAGTGAATAAACTACTGACATGTAGGCTAAACAGTTTATTGAGGATCTCTAATACTATCAGAAAATTTTTGAAGTTACAAGATTTTTACATCAGAAGAAAGAGTAGAATAATTTGTAAAAGTTAGATTAATTTCGTTTTTAGATCATTCAAGTTCTTATTATTTTATTGTTCTTTAAATATAATATGCATATAACCGTAACAACATTTGATGGTCAACATGTACTTAGTATCGACGTCAACAATGAACTAGATTTAAATAGTTTGAAAGTGTGTACCCATCTTAAGCACTGTTCACTACTAATAATTCAAAATTTTTATTCATCTAGGTATTATGTGAAGACGAGCTAAAAATAAAAGCATCCGAAATGATGTTAATGCACAATGGTAATTCATAATTTAAATTTTACTATTGTATCTACGGTTTTCCCAAAAGAAACTCATACTTCCTATTTTTCTTTATTCAAAACTTAATGTCTGTACGTGTTTTTCACGTTGTCAAAAAACAATGTATTCTTTTTCAAGAAAAGCAAGTTCGAGTACGTTCACGTGGATACATGGAATAAAACGCGTCTCGAAACGTCCACAAGACTCCGAAGAGATGACTCATTGCATTTGAATGAGTTTAATTCAATGAGTCATCTCTAAAAGGGCACCCATTGAAACTTTTGGAAATAATTAGGAATTAATGCGAACTAATGTAAAGAGGTCTCATATTAAATTAGTATGCATTATTTTTTTTGATTTGAATTAATTTATTAAGTTAAATTAATTTGAATTGATTTTTAATCAGAAAAAAAATAATGCACGCTAATTTAATATGAGACCTTTTTAAATTAGTTCGCATTAATTCCTAATTATTTCCAAAAGTTCCAATGGATATACTTCATTCTGCTTGATTTCTGATATTGTAGTGGATCTACCCTACTGCTCACGGAGTATTTAACTCCCATGTTGTCGAAACCGGCGGTTAACCGCGGTTATTTCAGCTGGAACCATAGCAACACAGCAAAAAACTCGACGGTTAACCTCACAATTTACCGGAAAAACGGTCGGTTAACTGCTTTAAGAACTGACGGTTAACCGCCAGTTTTCGTCCGATTTCGACAACATGGACTGATATTGACTCTTGTAGTACGTGAGTTGCTCTGTCATTTGGAATAGTCAGGAGCTAGAACAGCTGAACCCATGCAACTTATCGACGAGTAAATCGACTAGTAGATTTTATATTTTCGGCGCCCATCAGAAGCCAAAGTCGACTGCTATTTTTCGACAGGTAAACTAGTCGGTAGTCCATCGAAATTGGTCCAATCCGACTAGCTTTTGACTAATCGACAAAGAATTTTGACCAGTTGAACGGTAGTCGGAAAAAAATCCGACTAGTCGAAATACCCGTCGATTTTCATTTGCTTGGAAATGGTTGGAGAAAAGATAATCAGTCTTAAAAATAACAAAAAACGAAATGGAATAAAAAAAGTGGAATTTGAGCGGTATATATAAAACCGTCATTTTCTAAAACACATCTTTTAAATTCTCTCTATTCTTGGAGTGACCTTGGTCGAGTCATAAGTGTAAAAAATGAAACGAACAGAGTGCGAGCCCTTATTAGTTGCTCGTTCAAAACTATTAAAAAATGTGTCCGAGCTATGGAACATTTCTAAACACATCTCTGTTACACGTCCTTTACGAAAATAAAATAAAGGACGCGTTTCAACGGATTATTGAATAATTAGGGAAACGTGTTTCTTCAGGAATAATTAACAGTGAAAAAATTATTAGTTGGACACAGCACAAAGAATAGAAAAAGAAAACGAATTCGGTCGCGTTTCTGTGAAAAGTTTTGGTACATTGTTCTCAAAAATAACATGACAAATGCTTTTAGCCGTGTCTAAATGTTTTAATAGAAACTCGTTCAGACAATATTTTATCCAAAGAATAAAAAACACTAGATAAGACATGTACCATAGAGAGATATTCAAATAAAGAGTATTATATGCTAACTTGTTACTTGCTTTACTCTGACCTTTAGAAATCTTCTGTAGGTTATCTCCTTCCTTCATTAACTGATTTAAATGATTTATATTTTCTATTAAATAGGTAAACCATTAACAGATGACAGACGTACATTAGGCGATTACAATATTAAAGATAATGATCTATTATCTTGTCATCGGCTACGTGGTAAAATATAAATGTAATTTTCTTCTGAACTTGGTATTTATTTGTTCTTTTCTCTAATGTAGGTGGACAAACGAGTAGCAGTGGTGGCATTTCTTATACACATGGTGGTCCACAACAACAACAACAACAACAATTTGATTGTATGTATTTTGTCTCATTGAATTAGTTAAAATACATGACAATGAATGTCATAAATAGATAAACATTAAATATACATTTGTTATTTTTTTATTTAACTTATAATAATATCGCTTATCTATCTAGCATATTGAATTAGACTATACTTGTCATTATACAAGAGAAAAAGAATAAAATTCAACAACATTTAATATAATTGGATTTTATGTTAAGAAATATATCTTATTTTTCTTGTTCTTAGCTATTAATACTAGATATCATTGTTTAAACACCGCTTATTTCTATAAAGTATATATATATAATAATATACATAGTAACCTTCAAAGAAACAAAAACTTTTTTCCATTTCTCTTCCCATCATGATCAGTTGAACATAATAATGAATAGCAAAAAAAAACAACTTTTCTTATTTATGCATAGAATCATATCGAGATTTCTTAATAATTTGTGAAGTAGTACACACTCATTCATGTCTATCGTACTAACTACTCTTATTGAAATAAAAATAACTATACAACAAAGTTAAAAATCTTTTGTATGACCAAATGTATACGTAAAAATTATTAGAAATATAATTTAACAATCGTATGTTTTTGTATCATTGTTGAACATCTGACATAGTTTAGTTTCTACAAAATGTGTACAATAGCCATTTTGTTATACTCTTATTATGTTATGAAATGAAGCAGCTAATTTCTAGCATCAAAAATAGATTCCCCTCCAAAAAAAAATAATTTTAGAACACTCTTACTGTTATTCTATCTATTTGTTTATGTGAAAATGTTTTTGTTCAAAACAATTCGAAATATAAATTTTTTTCTTAACATTATTGTTGTTTATATTTTAGTATCAAATCCTCGTCAATTATTTAATATGATACGATCGAATCCTCAGTTATTGGTTCAATTACGTCGGGGCAATCCATCTGTAGGTGATGCTATATCATCGAACAATTACAGTAAGTGGTATTGTAGAATATCTTTATTGTTGACAAAGTAGGAGTAGCAAATGAGTACAAAAACAAAAACAAAAAAGAAATGATTATTTGTAAAAAAGAAAAGCATAGCACCGGACTTTAAATAGATATATTGTAAATAGAAATAAACATGCGTAGATTTTAACAGAAAATAACATTAATCATGGCAATATAATTAATTTTATCTCTAAGAAAAGAGATAGAGAAAAAAAAGAAAAACTGACATGTGTTTCAACAAAAATAATAATAATAATCAAAAATGATGATGATTCTACATCACATTTAGTTTGGCTAAAGCATGTGTATGTTCATGACGAAATCAAAATTTATTCTTCTATAAACAATGAAAATACAAAAATAATCATGAAGTGTATAACACTTGATAGTGTATAACATACAATCTGTTAAAAGAATTATCATTTATTAGGACTAAGAAATTGATGAAATGAACAGAGGATATTAACACAGAAAATATGTGGTTAAGTCGAACCATTGAAAAAGGACTTACTTTTATCCTCATTTTTTTCCCATATATCAAGTTTTTTTGTTTGGGTATCATCTCGACTATCAGTTTTTTCTGTCATCTCGTGCATGGGTACTTCTAACTGACTTGTTTGTGTTGCATGATGTATTAGAGTTGGTGAACATAGACAAGTTGTATAAGAACTTGGCGTTTGAGCTTGAATATAACTACATTGTTCATCGTCAGCAATATCATTCATTAGAATTTTATTGATGCCTACACATATCGAATGAGGGGACGATGAAGACGAGGAAGAAGACAATAAAATTGTATGATGATATGACGGTAATTTATCTTTCATAGATGATGTTGAAGAAACAGATTTATCGACGGATTTTTTTATTTGTGGTGAAATCTCTTCATATGTGAATGGAGGTACTTTCTTGTTTGATGTTGGTTGAATTTGATGATACAGTAACGGAGAAGAAGATAATGTTGAAGATATACCTTGATCAATTTTAGGCGATTGTTGTTTTTTTTGTTGTTGTTGTTCATGAATTATCGATGATGATGTAATAGATGAAATTGAAGAGATATTTTGTACAGTTGTTTGAGTGGTTTTTTCATCTTCTTGATGTTGTTGTAGAACTAATGGTTGATGTTGTTGATGGACACAACAACAATGCCGAGTATCATGTAGATTAGTCTCTTCTGTCAATGTATTATTCACTTTGTCATAATATAATTCGGGTGTAAGTGGTTGTGGTTGTGATCGAAAATACTGACATACTCCACAAAATACACCACAACAAGCTAAAGATGCTATAGAAATCGATAATAGAAATAGTCCGAATCGTTTACATTTAAAGTGTTTTACTAATTCACTACATTCATCCGTAAAACGATAGGCAATTATAAATAGAACACATGCACTTATTAATAACCATAATGAATAGAATGCGAGTCGACATGAACATTTTTGACGTTTTAATAAATAATCATTTTTAGATTTTAAACGATCATTAATTGTCCAATAATTATAAGGATGATGGTGTTGTCCTGATGGTGATGATGATTGTGGTAGTAAGGCGGCTGTTGACTGCCGATTATCATTCTGATGTATGACTATCGTATTAACAATGGGTTTTGATGATGATAACATTAAATATGGAAAAAAAATAATAATAATTATATTTTAGTCAATGTATTGTGATCTAACACTAGATCATGTTGACGATATTTGACGCATGTACTTATTTTTGATACGAACATATATAGAAAAGTATACTAGACATATTTCACTATTCATTGACAGATCTAGAAACAAGAAAAAAAAGAACAAGAAAAATCAGAAACATAAGAACAATTTGTTTTTATTAATCGGTTGTATCATTTCTATTATTACTATCACGAAAAAAATCTTTTTATATATACAATAAAGTTAAATATCGTATTTAGATTATCATGAAATGTAAAATAAAGGATTATCGTTTAATAATTTGGCAATATACGATAATAGTAACCAATATTAGAATATTAGAAAGTGTAAAGAGTACAGATGAACGGAATATGTTAATGTTTTTATAATTTTTCGTATTCTTTCACTCTATGGAGACTAAAAAAAAGAAGTTCTTGTTTTTAGTATTACTAAAAAATATTTGTCAACTTTACATAGACGACATCGATAAATTATTACAGAGAATAGAGAATCTCATAAGATGAATTAAATTATGTCTAAGGAAATGTTTTATTATAGATTTTTTCTCACCAATGCCATTAAGAATTTTTGAATAAGTAAAATCTTTCTTAGATTAGGTGTGAATAAAAAAGACAGTTAATCGCTCATGCCTAGGAGAATATAATTCGAAAAGACAATAATTTAAACTTGTTCTTCTGATTGTATATTGTATTTATAATTTGAATGTCCTTTTTACTTAGTATGAAAACGTGATAGCATGCGTCTTAGTGCAAAAATAATAGCATAAATATCTATAGGCGTTATATGACAATTGATATTAAGTAGACTTTTTGTCTTCAAAAGAAACGAACAAACTTTTCACAGTCGAATAGTGTATCATTTTTTTGTTTGTTTTTTGTTCCCACCTATGAAATGTAATGAACAAACAAACAATATATATATATATATATATCTGTTCGAATGATCTGTAATATTTTAATCAAGTATGCCAAAAAAATAACGATCGAATTTTTTTCCAAAATATCGTTGTCTAAAAAAAAAATTTTTCAAGCACTAGCTAAGTGGCCTCATTAAAAGTATTACTAGTATCGGTATGATATTAGACAACGTCAAATTGATAAATGTTCTAGTGATGTTAATCACTCGATCATTAGTTATACATTGACAAACGAATCCTATAATAAATAAATATCAAATTAAATATTGAATAATGAACAGTACTTTACATTCACTGCTGATATTATTGATAATGCTTGACTCTCTATATGACAAAATCTTGAATAATTCAACAAAATATAACATCAAAATTTTAGTCTAGTTGATATTGTACTGAAATGTGTAAATTTATAGAATGAAAAATTATTATTCGATAACACAACACATTCCATAATAGAAGACCACCTGATCTTCTTCAGCAAGTCGAATTCTAAAGGATGAGCTTCTATTTCGGCCATATTTTGTCGTCTGCTAGTAGTTCACTATTTGACTTTCAAGTCATATAATAGACAGTGGTCTTCTATTATGGGATGGGGAGTTTACATCAATATAGTAGTTAGGAGTTATATATATATACACCATATATTCAAAAACATGATAAGAATGATGATGAAATTTTATTCTGATTCGATTTAGCTAGCTTACATGATGTGAAAACAGTATAAGAGTTCTTAGATGTCAATAACATACCAATTATATACAAACAAAATATAAACCGTTAAATGACCAGACCGATCATAAATATTTAGATTATTTTAAAATCAAAAGTATATGAACGTAATTGAAAAACAAAACAACATAAATTATTCAGACAAATAGATACGAATCATTCGAGTTATATATTGAAAATTAGTAAAAGTGAACAGAAAAAATGTTTACCTCATTTGTTAATATCTTTTTATATTATTGACTAGTGTGTGCATGCTCTTTTCTATTAAAAAAAAAAAAATTTTTAACTCTATAATATTTCGTTCTTATAAAGCTGATACGAACATTTATGTCATTACTTTTGCACTAGGGGTTATGTAAAAAAAAAAAAAAATCTTATTTGAAAATCCTTCGTTTGAAAAAGCCATTGTTGAAAAAACGTGAGATTATGGTTTTGATTAAGGGGAAAATTGACATGCACTGTTATAATAATTATTCTCCCCGATGCATGTTAACTATTTATATATTTCGCGTAAAATGTTGTTCTCTGGGGGCTAATAATGAAAAAAAATTTTTTTTTTGTTTTTACTCCTTTGAAGAATTGTTGAGTTTTTAGTGTTAATTCAAAATTAATACGTACATGTTTTTCATTTTCTTTTAAAATTAAGATATAAATAAAACACTAAATATTAGGTGTTGGAAACCGTGATGTATTCTATTCTTCTCTTATGTTTTACCATTCGTGTATTAAGAAAACATTTATTATGCTAATTTTTTTTTATTTATATCTCTGACATTGAATTGCGTGGCGCTCGCTCTTTTTCTATGACAAAGAAAATGGTTCGTTCTGTAAATATAACTATTAAGAAATTCTTCTATCTATAGCATATAGCACTGTATATTAATGATCAGTCAGAATAGAGAGGGAAAGAGATGTTCCCCTTTTATTATTTCCAAATAGTGAAGGTGATTCTTAATTATTACGTACGAGTACCACGCTGTTTTAACCTTATTTTTGAAGTTCTTTCTCTCTCACTCTCTCTCTCTCTCTCACACACTCTCTCTCACTCTCACTCTCTCTCTTGTACAGTATATCAGTTTACATTAAACATGTCATAGATAGAGAGTGTCAGTTCTTATTTCAAACTACCAATTAATCATAAAAGATACATACACATACACACACACACACACACACACACACACACTCCTATAAATATTGAATAATAGCTATGATAACAAGTCAATGACGTTGATACGAATTAAACAGTTGCAAACTTCCATAGAAAAATCTGTTTTCTATTTATTATGACATGTAGAGCATAATACAATTGATGACTTTGTTAATTATAAATAATAATCAAGTTAGCTAGCCTTGACAAACGTGTCAATCCACAACTTAATATGTTAGAGATAGGAGGCCATGCAAATGTATTTCTCTTTTTTTTTTTTATTGTGGCTAATACAACAACACCAGATCAATCTGTTTTTCTGCTAATCTGCTTTACTGACAAACATTGTCTAAACCGAAGTTACAATAATGTAGAGAGAAATTCTATCAGTAAGGAATTTGACAATGTAAGATTAAAAAACAGTTAATATCTGATATGAACGAATCTAAATATATTTTTTTCAAAGATCAAGTAACTTAACTAAAAATGTTATTTTCAGAAGAATTTTATTCGTCCTCTAATTTGAAGTGTATGTTAATACAACGAGCATAGGTTTCATTTTATCTTATCCAAATCCGACACTTGAGGCAATTGATCTACACAAAGAAAAAAACGTAGAATGTAACCAATGTTCTTTTAATTCTTCTTCTCCAGTCATCTATTTAATTTGATTTAGTGGTATTACTATTTATCTATCTGTGTCTCTCTCTCTCTCTCTTTGTATATATATATATATATTCTTTGGATTTTCCCTACTGATAATAAGCTAATCTCCTAGATTGTGACGCATGAAAAGATAAAATATTTGGATAGACTAAGTTATGGGAGTCTATAATGATATATTTCTACTAAAATACTGATACATTTTTAACCAGAAGAAGCATAAATTTGAGAATTATTAATAGTTTATAATTCTCTAATTCTCAATAATATAATCGAACAATTATGGGGATAACCTTCATTAAGAGAAAAATTTTAATTATTTGTTCAATATTAAATTTTAGCGATTACTAAATAAAATAATGTTAAAAAAAAAATATTTTAGTTCGTTATAGAGTTAATGATAACTCAAAAGCAATATAGATGAAAACACTTTTTTATTACATATATTCTGAATCACGATATTCTCTTCTTAAACATCAAATAGATAGGTTTTTTAATTATGAACATAAATAGATTCGTTCATATATCTATTTTACTTAACTGATTGTTATGTATGATACATCTTCTTACAATCTAAACTTGAATAGTTAAAGTAGATTCATGTTAAAGTTTAGTGAACAGAAATGTGAAACAAAAATGTTAATGATCCTCACTCTATTATCACAATAATGATTGTGTACTCTTCATCAACTTGTAATTGAACTTGGAATCTCTTAATTTATTTTTTTATTTATTAAATGAACTCATCACAAATACAATATTACATTTTTATATATGATTTTTCTTCTTTTCCACTGTGATGTAAATAATTGCAACGTTTTTTCTTTTTCCTTGTTCTTTGTGAATAAAATTCTTTAAATGGTTTTCATGAAACAATTTGTAATACCATTTCTCGTCTTTCTTTGCCTTGATATTGTTGTGTATCAAAGTGGGTTTTGATTTCCGGCTAGCTCTGTATGCATGTACATGTTTAAAAAAAAGGAAATCGATTCATTCTCTTTTTTCTTTAGAAAATAATCTATGCACACGACAACAAAATGGGAGGGAGGAGAGATAAAAAAAGAAAACAAAAGTGGAACAATATGAGCATTCATTCACTACTCACAATAGGATTTCTCATCGTTGATACCACTAGATTGACAACTGACTAAAAGAACGATACGATACGTACGTAATATAATATATTTTAAAAAATATACAGCGATCATGCTGACATATATCGTTTTATGTTAGTTCAATGTTTGTACGTTGACGTAACTTTCGATCGAATTTAAGTACGTTTTAAAAAGCCAGTTTTACAAAAGCCAAAACATCGTAAAAAATGACTGTGTAAAATATGAGTGTTACTTCAAATAGATATCTATTCTTTTATTAGTACACGGCAATGATGTCATTTAGTTTCCCTATTGGCTTGAATCAATTCATGAAAATACTTTAATAACTGCTGAGCCGTAGACTTAGAGAGATCGATCATCATTCACTCACCTTTATCTACTTAAATGATTTATCAGTGATAGATGGTACGAACTTTTTGAAAGACTCTCAGTTTTCCTGGTTTTACTCGCTTCAAAAATTTCGTTCAAAATAATAATTTTATGCTGCATTTAATAATTATTCGTTTGACATGATTGATAGTGAAAAAGTATACCATAAGACTGCAGACTAAAAATGTTTTGAGTGTCTGATTAATTACTACTGTTAAAATACTCATAATATGCTGCATTATTGTTTAAATCGACACATCTGGATATCTGCGTGCAAGCTCTAGCAAGAAAAACACGATTTTGACGAAGAAATTTGTCAAAATGTCCTAGGATTTCTTGCAAAATCCGTGGAGGTCCTGCAAAATCCGTGGAGGTCCTGCAAAACAATTCTTTTTTTTTAATTTGTTTTGTGTTTACTTTTGATTATTCCAGTCTAATCATCATTTTTTTTCTTCACATAAACAAAGGGAATCTGAGCATACAATACTTTATTTTAGTTTAGTCCAAAAAGTTCTAGATAAAAGTTTTGTTATTTAAGGTTGTTGTGAGTTAATTTACAGCAATTTTTCGATCCCTGAGAGTAGTTTTAATATGAAAATCAAAATAGAAGCAGCGACAGTGAGATATTATTTCTTCAATTATTAGGGGTGTTATTACTCTTTTCAAAGAATTTTGTTCATTAGGCGTTTGGCGCTTGTTATAAATCAACTTGTAATAACTAATCTTAGAGTTATTTTCACATCATTGTGATTAATTAATTTTAAATTTATTTTCACAAAAATCCTTTTAAATATTAATAAAGAATTATTAAAATTTCATATTGTGTGATTTAGTTATGTATTGATGGAGATATCTAGTACATCTTTTAATTTGTTGATCGTTTTATGCTTTCTTCGCCATATAAACATAGAAGCAATTGTTTTCGACAATAGTTCAACATCAACAGTTAGAATTACAACAACTACTATAATGACTTCTACTGTCGACAGTTCGGATCGTCGTATAGTGTTTATTATTTTGTTTTTGTGTTTAATTACAGCTGTTGTTCTATTTTTCTATGCTGTATTTAATAATAGACCATCTAAAATTAAACAAACACAACAACAAATTCAATTTAAACAATATTCAACTGCTTTGAATTATGAAAATTTGTCAAGTCCTGTAACTTATGCTACAGATGGATCTCATACATCTGATTAGAAATCCTAATAAAAATATCCTGAGCTTTCTTACGATAAATATAAAATTCTTGTAAACTATACTATTTGTATAGTTGAAAAAAGACTACCAATGGGTATTTTTACTCTCAAGAGTCTATCGTAATTAATAATAGCTAATAAAAGAATTACTCGTACTTTTTAACAAAATATACGCATGAGCAAAGAAAAGTTATTCAGATAAGTTAGATGCATAAAACTCGACATAAATGCATAATTGTTAGAGTTTTGCGCGTATTTCGACATCAGAGGAGAAAAATATATAATAGATCGATCGGTGGATGTGTGAGTTCATGTTTTATTCTCTATGTTGAAAGCATGGTTTAGTTCTGATATAGGTCTTTGTTTGGACAAATAATTTGTTAGATACTTGTCGTATCATACATAGTCTTAGAATTTCGTTCTTTAATAAAGTAAGATTTTCTGAATATTATCTAGCGACATTTAAAATCTGAAGAAAGATGGCGCTTATAGATAATGAGTTTTTCTCTCTGTTAAATATTCCATAACAAAACGATCAGCTATGTTGATTTACATTGAAAGATATGTGAAAAATGCAGTTTATTCTTGTATTAATTTTGTCGTATATGATTTTCTCATTGTAGAATTTAAAAGTATTTTGTTAAGAATTAATGATTTTCGACAAAAATTTTAAAATAGTTACAAATCGGTTTAAAAGTTATAATCAGAGTTAAAACGTCTTACCTTAGTTTTACGTTTACTTATCAGTGTTCGCCACATCTTTTGTTTAACAAGGACAGAGCAAGATGGATGATGTATTGGGAAAATTGAAGTCGACAAAAGCAGTATTCGAGAGTAAAGTCTTGATTAGTTTTGTGACAAGAGTATAATCTCATGAACAAACAACAAAGGATTCTATCTGTGAGACTTTATTCTTGCATGTTGCTTTTGCCGGCATCACTTTTCCCAATACACTCAGCTTGCTATGTTCTTGTTAGACAAAAGATGTGGCAAACAAATGCTAAGTTAACGTAAAACTAAGTAAGATGTTTTAATTCTAGTTATACCTATTTTTAACTGAAGGACCTTTAAACTTTTCAGTGGATTTTACATACAGTAAATAAAATGCATAGCCACTTCAATGATCGTTCATTTGTACTCAAATTTGATGATAACTCAATTCTTTAATTATATTGATCTAATTTAGTTACTTTCTATATATACCTCTGACTAATTGAACCTTCTTTATGTAAGTCACGTGAACAAAATCATAGCTTTGAGCCATACACTCTATATTCTTTCCTGTTCTATTGTAAAAACTTACTGCCTACTCGATTTTAGTGTGATTATTATCAAAATTGCTTTTAGCTATTTTTTTTCCATCGTTTTTTCTCCCCGAAATATAATTCATTGATTATTTTTTTAAGTTTAATTTGTTCTATTTGAATTGATAGTAATTCGATTAACTAAAGTATATCATTTTTCTTTTCTTCTTGCTTTTTTAGCATTTATTTAGGAATTTGTAAAACAACTACTATTTTATTTCCTCTCGATTTCATCAGTACGAAATGATCGGAAATCTTGATGTTTCTAAAAAAAACCGTTCAGATCAAATTTGTTTTCATTATTTAGTTTTTTGTCATTGTTTCTATATATACAAATGTAGTTCATTGCATCTTTTTACGATGTTAAGTTACTAATTTGTACAGTTTTATAACGGAAAAATAAAAATGCAATAATGTTTCTTGAAAATATAAAAAACATTATTAATCATATTAATTTTCGAGATTTTATGTTGTATAGAATAAAAAAAAAGAAGAATGTTTCGGACAATGTTTACATGTTCTTTCTTCTCTTAGTGTAGATCAGAATACTAATAAGACTAACAACATCTTATACATAGTGAAGTAGTTTTATTATCGATTTTGAAATTCTTCACCATTAAAAAATGATTCAACAGAATACTAAACTGTCTAAAGATTAATATTTTGCTAGAAAAAGAGTCTGAACTTGGGAAAAGGATATTGTTGGTAAAGAACAGATGTTATACAGAAAACTACGTAATAAAAAATGCCTGCCGAGTTCAATGCATTATTTTATGATTCGGCCTTGGGAAAAGGTTAGTGGTGTGATTATATCAGTGGTACGTTATTATTTTCTCTCTCTTTGACAAATACGTTATGTCGATCTTGTTTTTTAAGGAATAATTAAATAGTGGAAAGAGTGAGAAACAAGAAAAAATATATCCAAAATACATTTTCAACCTTTATACGCCTTCTCACATTTTACTGGTACAATCACCACAGTATGTGTTTAAAAATTTTTGCTCTTTAATACATAAAAAAAAAAAAACATATTGATTTTTGATATGAGTATAAAAGAGACTAGAGTTTTTGCATTCTAAAAAATCAACATTTCTGTTAATATTTATTCTCAGGGATTATTTTAGTCTGACAAATCGTCTCCAACTGAACTTTTGAAAATAATGATAATTTTAACCTTTACGGAAAAAAAAATATAAAAACATTAGTCAATAGAACACTCTAAAAATTATTCTTTTTTTTTCAAGAATCAAAAAATAAAAGAACAAAGAATTTTTTATTTTATACTAAATATCAAAAGACAACGAAAGAAGAAGAAGAAGAAGAAAAAAAAAAGATCATTTAAAACTGATATGCATCTCTTCATTGTTATTTCACCGTAATTGAACTTCTATTACAAAAAAATAAATAAATAAAACTTAAAGAGACACGATTAAGACCAATAAAAATATACACGATTAACGGAAGATGGTTGATATTATTTACTACCATAAGCTACCGAATTGACACAATAATATTATTTTGTTCTTTATTTGACGATGATTGTGAAGTTTGTGCTTGTAATAATGCGGATGTTGTTCTAATAACATTATTTTCTTCACTTGAACGAGAATATTTTGTTACTATAAGACTAATTAATAATAGAACACAACCGGTGACGAGAAACGTAATACCTAAAACTTTAATTGTTTGACGATTACATTTAATAGAGTATGTTGATGTTTTAGTACATCCCTCAAAGTGTATAATAAATACAAGTTGTATAGTACCGGCTATTATAAGTAATATTGATAATGAAAGCATAAATAGACCGCATGGAAAACTACATTGAATAAAACGATAACAATAACCACGTACAACATCGACACGTCGACGTTCGATTTTATAATCGCCAAATGCTCCTACCATAGAATGCATTATTGTCTTTTTTTTTCTTTTGTTGTTGTTATTTTTTAAATAAACTACGATAAAATAATTAATAAATATAAATAATTATTATTTATCATTGTTAAATCTAAAATTAGAAATAGAAAATAAATTTTTTAAAATTTTTATTATCTAAAACATTATCTGTCAATTATTAGCATTAAAGATGTTTGTTATCCCGTTGTTCTCTTCTGTCTATTATAGATTGTCATGTTATAGTTTAATAATATTAATTTTTTATTCTTGATAAATTAACAATGTTGTCAAAGAAATTAATCTTTTTAAAAAAAAAAGTGAACACTCGCTGATTTATTCATGCAATTAGTTTATTTTATTTTTTTTTCTTCATATATTCTGTTAGTTAGTTAATTAAGAACATCTTTGAAGGAAAGAAATTACTATAGATATCTCACGTGTTGTGTATACATTTATTTTTTTTAGACAGAAGAGAAAAAAACCAGGAACATTATACAGTATACAAGATAGATAAATAGAGATGTATTTGTCTGATTGTATATCTTTATAGACGTACGTACCTCTCTTTGATAAATAAATAAAAGTAGTAGTCTCAGCAAAAGCAACAGCAGTAGTATAAAAGAATAAAAAAAAGACAAAACACTTTTTTTTTCTATGGTATTGTTAAGGACAGAAGAGAGATGATTGTCGTAGACGATATCAGTTCTATCCATCGAACAAAGACAGTGTGATGTATGTCTATTTATTTGTGTATGTGTGAGTAAAAATACTAATAGCAGCAACAGTTGTAGAACATTTTCATTAACAACCTCAAATACAAAGCAATCGATATGGATGTGGTATTGAGGTGTTATTTTATTGTTTTTTTAAGAACAGAGAGAATGAATAAGTGTCACATTAAAAATTGGAAACGAAACGAAAGACAATATTTTTTGGTGTTCATTATATGTGGTAGTTAAAAAAGAAACTAGTACACACACGCACATACACACATAAAAATCAGTTCTTTATTTCTTTTTTTTGCTCTCTATTTAGATGTTTTAGTTCAGAACAAATAATTTAAAAGATGTTGCTTTTACCACGCCAGAAGGAACAAGAATCACTCACACATATACTCTGTCTCTTTTTTTTTTTCTTCAATGCGGGTGTAATTGGTGTGTTGACCCATGACTAGAAAATACATAACAAGAAAAAATTTTTTTTTTGCAGATTAATTATATGCTTAGTTAGCTACGAATTGAAGAAGCATTATTTGTGTGCATTTTAAATGGGACAAACTATTCCACTATCGAGGCCAAAAACATTTCTATTTGCAAAAAAAATTAAGAGATTTTTTTTTTTTCTGAATATGGTGAAGAGGAAAAATATCTTTCCAGTTTCCTTTTTCACATTGAGCTTTTCTCTCCAGATAATAGTAGCATCTGTTCTTTTTGAAATCAAGTAAAACTAGTATTTTACGTCCTTTTTACATCTAAAAAGTGCGTAAATAATTCTTTACATTTGACAACGTCAGATCTTGAGATTTTATGAACAAAAATCGACAAGAGGCAATAATGTTAATAATTTTAAATATCCTATTCTCTAACATTGTTATATGAGTTTTTCAAAACCACCCATGTTAATTAGAATAACTTCAGAATTTTTGTTTTTCACTTTATGAGTGGAGAAAAAAAAGAGAGAGTAACAAATGACTAGTGATAAGATATTGAAAATAAAGTACTTTAGTTAGCTGTTTAAGAGTGAACTAATGAGTGTAAGAACTCTTTATATACAGACAATTTGAAGTCTACAGCAAACACTTCTTAGTAGCTTTTACTTTGCCTACGGAATATTTCATATTTGTTGATTAGCACAGTTCTACTGTTTCTCATCATTATCACTTTATGAAACTACTAATCTTTATTGATCTTTTTATATGAGTTCAACGAGGGTATTTTTTTCCTGGTACGAGTAAGCATGTAGAGATGTTTATCAACAATTTGTCGGATTTTTAAAAGAAGAAAATCGAATTTATCAAGTTCTTTGATGAACTCTTCAATGTCTTTGAAACTACTATAAATATAATGATAAATACTCAGAAAGAAAATAAAAACGCATAGTTTATCTACTTTTATTCATTTCTTTAAAATAAATGCAGACATGCCTTATTTATATTCATTGTTGATAGACTCAAACAATAAATCATTAATCTTTTTCATCAACGTCTAATAATCATCATTGTCATTATTAATGTTTGCGTTTTTCAAGACAAGAAACAAAAACAATAGTATGTTTTTGATTAGATTTATAATAGACATTTTTTTGAATTATAGACGTTGGAGGAAAACAGAAAAAAAAAAAAAAAAAAAAAAAGAAAAAATTAGCGAAAATCCCAAAAAAAATAAGCACATGAAAAAAAAAAAAAAAAAAAAAAAAAAAAATGGTTTAATTTATTAAANCTTCTTTTAAAAATCCGACAAATTGTTGATAAACATCTCTACATGCTTACTCGTACCAGGAAAAAAATACCCTCGTTGAACTCATATAAAAAGAAAAGAAGATGAGGTAATTTCTTTCACAACAACCACAACTGTCAACAAGAGTTGGCGGACAATAAGCAGTAGTCAAAAAACGTGGAAAGGCTAAAAATAATAATAAAAAATATCGCTTTATATATCAACACTAAGTTTGGCAAGTATCAAACATAAAGTAAACGATAGATATCTGGGATATATTATCATTATTATTATTGTTACTATTATTATTATATTATTTAATTAGACGACATGATATATCTTTTTTTAGAAGAGATGAAGTACACATTTTATGGCGCAAAACCTCGTTTGCCCACTCTAATTAAGAAAGTGCAGAGAGATCTCTTCGTTTTCAACGTCGATCAAAGATAAAAAAAAAAATGAATAATTATCAGAGGCTGTCTTTTCTATCAGCAATACGTTTACTTTTTTTCGGTAACAGTAATTCGTTCCACATCAATTCAATTTTTTTATTTTGTACAAAAAAATGAAAAAATTTTCTCTCATTCGTAATATGAAGATTTTTTACAGAAGCCAATTATCATAGAAATAGACTAATTTTGAATTTGAGTAACACAGTGAACAAAAAATAGTATTAAAAATATTAAGTCCGAATGATTTGATTAGAAATTTCGACAGATAACACAATCATTTTTTCTGATTCAACAATGTTAAAAATAAAAAATAAAAGCTAATGGGAAATAAATTCTGTTATATGGAAGAAGAAAAAAAAGAGACCACTTCTGTTATCTACTGTCATTTTTGAAATGTGAGCGATCTTCAATATCTGACTAAAAGCATATAGAATTTCACTCAAATCCATAGATTTTAAAGAAATTTGGCACTTCTCTTATTCTATTATACGTTATTATACTGATAAGTAAAAGTATTTTTTGTTTAATGAAGGCCTGGTTCAAATTTCGGAAGGATACATATATATATCTAGATATATATAGATATATATATTAGGTATTAATGTATAAGATAAGAAATATATTGAGATGCACACATAAATTGAGATCAATTAAGATAGCAGCACGTAGACTCAGTCAACTAAACACTGCTAGATTATTATTCTTTGTTGATTATCATATGAAAGAAACCTAATAAATAAAATTACAACTAAATAGATTACAAATCAATGATCCAAGTGAAAGAAAAAGTGCAGTGATACTGCTTACATGATCTGTGTATACCACATTTATCGTGTCACTAACCTTGGTAAGACAATACTAAATATTACGTTTTTTTTATTCGTTATTTATAAGAGTATACCGTACGTTAATCTGTCTTTTTACTACTCGCAAGAAATAATCTCATCTCATTTTAACTCTTACGATTTAATTTTTATCTACTGTAAGAAAACTAAATGTCCTAGGTGAAGATTTCTGTTTTAATAATAAAATTACTTTCAATTGACTATCGACAATCAAAAAAAAAACACAAAAACGGAGACGTCTAAATATGATCAACCAATATCTACTTTTAGCTCTAGAAGAAAAAGAATCGTTCATATATGAACACAAACAGATAGAGAAAAATAATATGTTTTTAAAACACGTTTTTTACTTGATTTTTCTTCTCTTTTTATTTATTTTTTTGTTGTATATTCACAAGAAGAAATGAAGAAAAAAGGCTAATCAAGAAGTATGAGGATGTGGAGGGTCTTCTCCTCTTTTTTTTTTTGTTAAACATGGGATAAAATTTGTAACACACACACACACAAAGAAATAGAGAAACGTTCGACAATAGACAATAATTAAATAAAAGATATTTTTCTTTTTCACCGTTTTTTTGGAACTTCAGAAAAAGAATCTGACGAGTTAGCTATCTTTGCACTCATTTTGCTCTTCATTAATGATAGATAGTTTTGTATTTAATTATATTCTGAATGTATCAAAACTTAGATGTACTATTTCGAATTAATAACAGAATATATTTAGAAAAACACTGATATGTTTGCAAGAAAAAAAATTCTTCTATAAGAAATCGTCGATTTGTGACTTATACCCTAAAGTAAACACTCATCTATTTGCATAACAGGATGAAAACAATCCTTTACTTAAAATCAAAAATATGTGAAAATAATTGATTATTCAGTGATAAACTTATTTGTTAGAGTATAAAACAAACTCTAATCTTTTAAGTAGATGAAGATATGAAAAACAAAAATCATATTTACCATTGAATGTTTTCCGTTACAAAGTTAGTTGTGTCTATAAATTTCATGCCGCAGGATAGTTTCCTATATACTGCTAATATAGATATTACACGGCAGCAGTATGAATGTTACTTATAATGATGATCATTGTAAGAAAGAAAATATTTTTTTCATTCTTTCTTATGTTTTTTTTAGAGATAAAGGAGAATGTCCCGTTCTTTTCCTATATCGCAATAAATATATGTAGTCTAGTAAATCTAACAAACCTTCTTTCTATCTCTCATTCATTGTCTGTAAAAATACGTGGATAGAATTAGCTTGATTTTACAGACAATCAAAATAGACACTTTGTTGTGTATTCCAACAAAAAAAAAATATATATATATATATATATATTATTGATCTTTACAAAAGCAATATTTAACATTAAAAATCGTTACCGTAATGTAACGGACGTTATTAACAGTAAAACTATCGTTCTATACAAATATAATTTAGTTTAACACAGTTTAGTTATTAAAGTTTTGGATAAAAAAAAAACAAAAAAGAAAAAATTCTAAATATTAGATCAATAGAAGATTTTCTTAATTTATTTTTAAAAATAGCTCTGTTAATAAAAAAAAAAAGAAAACTTGATTACCTGTCGATCAAGTTATTATATAGATTATCTTTTTTTAATTCGATAATGTTTCTATTTTTATATTTAATCTTTAACTTTTTTAGAATAAAGCATAAATTTCGTCGATATGTAAGCCCACATGATAGAGAATTATTATCCATCAATCTTTTTTACCAGCTGTGTTTTTTATCAAGAAAAATATCATGATAACAGTTAAACGTCACCCGCATTTGCTAGCTGACCTATATATGAAAATAAATATCTGTTTGTGTTTGTATATGGAATAATAATATAAAGCAAATGCATTTTGTTCTACTTGTTACTACTTTATGACAGTTTGACTCTCAAAAATCAACAACAAAATCATAGGGCAAAATGTTTTAATACTTTTAGTCTGAATAAAAAAAATAAAAAAAAAAATAAAAAAAAATAACAACACAAAAGAAATATTGTAGAATATTTAAGATGAATTGAAAAAAAAAAATTTAAATAATCTCCCACTGTGTATTGTCTTTCAATTTTGTGTTTTATTAATGAATAGTGGAATAATCATCGAACGGCAACTGTAAAAGTAGAAGAAAAGAGTTTTCTTCTTTTTTTTTTTTTTTATTTTAGATACGGAGAGTATATACACATCGATAAACACCTACTCGCATCTATATAGTCTAGTTTCTATTTTTCCTACAATAAAGATAGAAGAGAATGAAAGAGAAGGAAAATGACTGTTGTCGATTCGATGAATGATTGACTAGATATAAAATTTGTTAAATAATTAATTATTTGTATATATACGTAGAGAAAGAAGAAAAAAAACAATAAAATCAAGACAAGTAATGAAACATCTCTTTCTCTTTCTCTCTCTCTCTCTCTGTATATATATGATTGAAATAAATTATATTTGTCCACACTCGAATTCATTAACATTCCCAAATATAATTGATGTCGACAATATGAGGTGAATAATATAAATAATCGAAGATAATAAAATCAGATTCTGGTGTAAAACTAGCCTGATAAACTTGAGGATCTAACTATGACATGTTTCCTATTCAAGAACTTTTTCTTTATTATATTACACTATTATTCAATTGAGAGCAAAAGACAAAATTTCAATTGTAGTAAAAATAACTATTTTCTATGTCTATAGCATGTATCTAATAAAATAGATTTGAGATTCACCTCTGGTAAAGAAAAATGTCAATCAAACTTTGTATGTACATACGTAATCGATAATATATTTACGAATGTTTTTTATTTTATTTTTTATTTTATTTTTATTACCTTTTTGTAACTTTTAACTAAGGTAATGGAATAATTTCATTTTGTTTTTTTATCGATGCCTTTTTTTGACGACATTTATCATTTATTATTAGATGCATGAATTGAAACATAATCTTTACGAAGAAAAATTCTTTATCTTAGCAAAAAAACAAAAAAAAAAAAAAAAAAAATAATTATTATACGAATTTTCTAGATCGTTTTATGGAGCTTCTTGCTCAACATTCACCAGCAATGAATCATCAAACAGAATTAGATCGACTGTCTATGGCCGATCCGTTTGATCCAAATGTACAACGACGAATTGAAGAATTATTACAGTATGTCTATTTTTTTATAATTATTCTTGTTAATTATTTATTTTTTTGTATATATTGTATTTAAGTATGCAAAATGTTCAAGATAATATGGAACATGCATTAGAACATATGCCAGAAGTATTTGGACATGTTGTTATGTTATATATTAATTGTAAAGTTAATGGACATCTTGTTAAAGCATTTGTTGATTCAGGTAAGATATTATTAAATAGATAAGTTAATATTTCAACATTTAATTTTAATAATATTATTTTGTTTTAGGTGCTCAAATGACAATAATGAGTAAATTTTACTATTGCAATTATTTTTTTTATGTTTTGAATAATTTTAATGTTTATATTTTAGGTCGAACATGTGCTGAACGTTGTGGTATTATGCGTTTGATTGATAAACGATGGAGTGGTATTGCCAAAGGTGTTGGTACACAAAAAATAATTGGACGTATTCATCTTGGTACGTTCGACTAATAGAGAAATATATTTTTCTTTATTATTAATTTGTGTTTTTTTTCTTTTTAATATAGCTCAAATTGAAGTTGAAAAAGCATTTTTGACAACAGCATTTTCTGTATTAGAAGATCAATCAATGGATATGTTATTAGGATTAGATATTTTAAAAAGACATCAAGTAAGTGAAAAAAATTGATTATAAAATAAAAGAATTATTCTTTTTAATTAGAAAAAATTATATTTTAGTGTATAATTGATTTACATAGAGATACTTTACGTATTGGTTCAGCAAATATTGAAACAAAATTTTTATCAGAAAATGAATTACCTGAGAATGCGAAATTGACTGAATCTATTCCCATGAGTAATATGATCGAACATGAAGATAGAAATTTTGCTCAAGCATTAGCAAGATCAGCAGCAGATGTTGGTAAGTATAATTCATAATTTAGTCATCTTTACACTATGTTTGAAATTTTATGATATTGCTTAAATATATTAATTAGTATAATCGTGTGTATACGTCAACATTATGAGCCCCATTCAATTCAGTATAATTTTAGTCTTGCATGTACAAATAGAATTATCAAAGGCAAACAGTTTAACGAGTATTATTTCACAATTAACTTCGATTAAAGTAAAATGAGTTAGTGGTAAACAACAAAACTTTGTGATTGAGTTTGCGTGAGAAAAATTTTAATTATCAAACGTCATCAGAAAAGCTCTTCTGACGTACTTTCACTGCATCCTACGATTTCAGAAAATGCGTCTGAACAATAGAACAGAGTTCAATCAGAATCTGAAAATCATTACTTAAACCTAATTAACTGTATTTCTGATTAACCAACGTTTGAATGACTGACATTTGAACCCGACAATGGAGCGAAGCGCATCACTTATAGCTGCTCACCCTCACTCTCTACAGATCTTCGAATAATTCAGTTCATAATCGGACGACAAAGAAATTATTATCATCATCGTTATTGAAGTGAACAATCATTCGATTTTCCTGATCGGATGAAAAGTCATATTGAAAAGTGTCTAATGCCGGATTATTCAATTGTCGGGGTCGCTCAAACGTCGGTTGATGGTATTTCTAAAGTTACCGAAAAAAATTTGACAATTTCTGATTGAAAATTGAATCGAAACATCATTCACTATACCTCATTTGAACGAGCGATAAAAGCACTTCTAGTTTCTATAATTATATAATTTCAAACATATCCTGTTATAGAAAAAAAAATACGTCTGATAAGTGAGGTATGTTTGGAGAGGGTGGAGTTACAAGTGCTTTTTCTGGTGACGTTTGGTAATTAAAATTTTTCCCACATAAACTCAATTACAAAAAGATTTTGCTTTCTATGTTTTTTGGCGCTCAGACTTTAGTCTTTCCAACGCTAAAACAATTAATTCACCAGCACATCGGAGGCAAGTAGAGATAATGCTCGACATTTGTCGAGGGACTATTTCAAATTTGCTGTTTTGATATGTTCTCTTATATTCATGTTGAAACTATATGCAATCCTTTGACAGAATCATGTTTCTTATTCTACCGCCATTTTGTTTTAATTTAATTGAAGTTAATTGTGAAATGTCGTTCTTTAATTTAGGAGATGTTAAATCAAGTTCACAACCAGCAACAACGTCAGCAGCTACCAATTTAGAGCAACCATCCTCTGAATATTCTGAACAATCAATAACACAGATAATCAAGCAGGGTTTCACTCGAGAACAAGCTATCAATGAATTAAAATTATTTCAAGGTGATGTAAATAAAGCGTTAACATCATTAATGACAAAATCACTTTTAATACCAAAAAGAAAACGTTAATATTCTTCACTATTTTTGATTTTTATCCATCAATTTTATTTAAGCCAGTCCCGCAGATAAACTCGTACATATTGTATTTTTTTATAAAGTTAAATATTCTTATTTATAATTAATGCTGTTATTTCATTATTTAATTTATTTCGAACTTTTTTTTTGCACATTCCAACACTATGTAGTGTTATTACAGAACGTGAAGTGATTTTTCTGTTCAAAACTATCATATAAAGGTCAGGATTGGATGTGCGACTCTGTGGAAGCCACTGTAAACACAAAAACGATTTCCAGCTTACTAGTGTGAATGGTAATATTGCTGTATAGATCTGTATCTTATTGAAGTGGTACCTAACTAGAAATTATTTCAGCATTGTGATCTAAAAGGGGCGATTAATTGTTGGTAGCTATAAATGCTAGACAACGTAATCAATATTTATATTTCAGCAGTGTTTGTTTCGTGTTAAGAAAACTATCCGTATATCCTGTGATTCTATGCAGTGCTAGTTTCTGTTAAAATTTGAGTGATCAATGCTATAGTAGCGATACATTATAATGGTAGAATCCTATCAGATACAATCGTGTAATATTGCACAAGAATAATGAATAGTTTCAACTCATATCCACAAACTTGTCCGAGTATTTCATGAGGGAATCTTTTTCTTTATGGAAAAGCGTTTGAGCACATGGAAACATTCTCAGTCGTAATCATTTCCAATCAAAGTTATTTTTCCAGTCTCAACAAAAACTAATTTGATGGTCATAAGGTAATAAATCTGATCACTGTAAATGTAAGACGAGTAATAATGTAAGCCATCTCTAGTGTTACTAAGAATGCTGCATATAATGGTTTAGATTTTTCAGACTAACTTATGAGTATTATACAATAACTTTTTTTTATTGTTCGCTTGATTCATTGCAGACCTAATCTCAAATCGCTGTGCATAGATTAAAAAGTCGACTAATTGCTAGAATTTTGAGAACAGGTAAAATCTTTGAAAGTATGCACTATAAAGTCTGAGTGGCCTTCACACTTTTATGAGGCAGAACTGAAGCAGTTATATCTAACTACAAAACGGAAGTAAGAAACGTTTTTTTGCAGTCGTGTTAGTAGACGCTAAATAGCTTATTTAGTGGCAAACAAAAAGTAAATCTTTATTCAACATTAACGTCAATGCTGCTACTATCAAAGGATTATCATAAGAGCATGATGCTCTTATGATAATCCTTTGATAGTATTATAGGATAATCCTACAATGTGACTTACCTACTTTACATTTCGATTCCTTATTGATCAAACAAAAATGTTCATCTAAATCAGTAAAGGCGAAGAGCGAGAGTAGAAAATGCAGTTCTTCGTTGGTTTGTATGCAAAAAATATTTATTTATTTTATTTTCTAACGATAAATCAGCGACGTACTCAACACTAGGCCAAGAGTGGGCCATGGTCTACCCCGTAGAAATTTCTTTTTCTTCGATTGAAAGTAGAAAAAAATATTTTGATTGCAATCGAAAATAAAAAAACTACACAAGAACTTTTTTTTGGGCAAAAACAAACATTTTTGGCCCACCTCTTACTGAAATTCTGGATACGTCGCTGCGATAAACTCATTTCAGAGCCTGATTGTACGGTAATTGATGCGAATATCAATAAAAATAACTATAAATTGTTTATCTATAACTGTTTTTACACTCAAACCATATTTTTGGCTACGTCCTACCTAACGTAGGAACCGCCCCAGGTGCCCAACTGCGCTTTCCTTCATTCATACTTCGTTTTATAGAGCACATCGAGCTGGTAAAAAGCCTAAAAGGATTTTTGCCCATGGCTCTTGAAGTCTCGGTTTTCTGATAAACCAGTTTTTGAGAAATTCTAAAAAATAATCAAAACCTTTCATAATGAGGCATAATTATAGCTCGCATATTTCTGATTAAAATGAGACGTCTCCCAGCTCTACACGACCTTTCTTTACAAAATTCCAGGATTTACAAGAAAAGCCCTAAATATTCATTGTCAGCTCAAAGCTGTAGAAATAAGAAATTAATTTAAGACTTTTCTTGTAAATTCTATAACTTTGCAAAGAAAGGTCATGTAGAACTGGAAGACGCCTCATTTTAATCAGAAATGTGCGAGCTATAATTATGCCTCATTATGAAAGGTTTTGATTATTTTTTAGAATTTCTCAAAAACTGGTTTATCAGAAAACCGAGACTTCAAGAGGCATGGGCAAAAATCCTTTTAGGCTTTTTACCAGCTCGATGTGCTCTATAAAACGAGGTATGAATGAAGGAAAGCGCAGGTGGGCACCTGGGGCGGTTCCCGCGTAAGCAAAAGTATTAAGGCCGAAATATCTGGACGCTTTAGCTGGAGTATCAGTCGATATTTTTTAGCCTTTTATCTAGATATTCCAGCTAGAGCATCGAGTATCGAGTTAGCTACATCGGTCGATGTATTGCCTAATATATTTGAATGCACCGAGTTTTTCCCGACGAAAATGTTAATTCAAGGGCAATGCTATCTAGTTGCGTCGAGAGAAACATTTATCTGCACCTATATGCGTCGATCAGTACATTGACCACCGAGATGTAATGAGCGATACTTGATGCTTTTTGTGTGCTTGGGATAAATATGGCCGAAAATTTAAGCCATTTAGTATAAAAGTAGTCTCAATTTAGAACAAGTAAATTGATATTATTCTGCGTTTCCGAATTGCGGCCACTTTCTAATTGATGAGTAATCAACAATCGTAATTTAAAATATAGATATATAAATTAGTCGCTTTTTAGAAAAAATAGAAGTAGAAACATATATAAGAAGAATTGATGACTATATCCGGACGTCAGAATAAGAAGCAACTCCCAGAGCAAAATGATTAATTTTGATTAATAATCAGTAAAACATATCCTAATGATTACTTTTCGCAAAAGAATATTTATTAGCTTGATTAATCGTTGTAAAATTTAATCAGGGGTTTTGTCTTATTGATAATATAAATATAGAAACATGGAGAGTAAGGTCACACTTGATTTAAAACTATGGATACGAACTTCACTTGGTCCAAAACTCAAAGAGGTGAAACAGCAATTTTATATAATAAGAATTACTTATATCAGTTAAAGCATGAAAATCACATCGGCTCGTTAGTATAATACATAAATACATAGTCATCCGTTCTTATATGTGTTTCTACTTCTATTTTTTTCTAAAAAGCGACTAATTTATATATCTATATTTTAAATTACGATTGTTGATTTAATTAAAAAGTGGCCGCAATTTGGAAACGCATAATAAGATAAATTTACTTGTTCCAAATTGCGATCACTTTTATACTAATTGGCTTAAATTTCTACCGCATTTAGAAAGCTACGATATTTTTTGTTAAATTTGTGCCATGATGGCTAATTGAGATTAAGTGGCTGACTGAAGGTTCAAAAGTAGGCTAATTTATCATTAACTCTTCAGTACATACTATGCTATAAACATTGATATCTGTCGCGTGACTTAATTATCCCACAGAAGAAAAACGGTTCCGTAAGCTTTGACTCGAAAGAGAAAAGTATGTCGAAAGAAGATGAACTTTTTCTGGTATAAAGTAAAACGTCTTCTTTGTACAACTAAACGTTGTTATACAACCATCAGAAACGAGAAGCTGTTAGTTTCCAGGCTGGTTTAATTTTATAGACGTATAAAAAGCCATACTTCCGATTATTTGAAGATTACCGGCACTCTTTGCTTATGCAAGATAGAGGATATAAACAGTTTATGTCGATATTAAAACCTATTGAGGTTGGAATTTCAATTTATCATTCACAAGAGAATCTTTCGAGGTGATCCAAAGCTTTTCAAATCTCAGCTAGTTTTTCTAGGATAATTCTTGATGTTGATCACGAATCTGATGTCCGTTAATGTCCTGAGTTTCTAAATGGGAATTCGAAGTCTGGTGTCTGTAGAGACTCATCATAGAGATTCATCACCGCTCCAACAGCGGCAACTCGATGAACTGACCAGATAAGTACCTCTTCGTTCGCATATTCATGATGAGTCTCTAGAGATATCAGACCTCGAAAGACCCATTCAGAAGCTCAATAAGGACATCAACGGTCATCAGATACATACATCAAGAATTATCCTAGAAAAAAAAAACTAGCTGAGATTTGAAAAGCTTTGGATCACCTCGAAAGATTCCAGTAATGATAAGTGCTCGATGCCACAGCACTAAAAAGAAGAAAGGGCGTATTAGTAAACTCTATATAATTGTTTTTTGTCACGATCTATCCAAACTGAAGATGTTACACTACATCAACTATCGATCGATCTTAAGATATTTTTCGGGTGTGTCAATTGAAACATTTTTTAGTTTTATATAATAGTGGTACTATTACAATTTACAATTCATTTCCAAACGTGCTTGTAATAAAATTTAGATTTTTTTTTGTCTGTTTGCTATTTATGTGATAAACTTATTCATTGCATTTACAGAAATTTTTTAGATTTTATTAAACGGCAATCAATTATTCATAAGCTTAAGTAAACATGAATAGTTAACTGTAGTTATGAGGAAAAAAAAGAAGAGAAGAGTATGTCCACTCATTCTGGATCGTCTTCAGAACAAAAATTGTTCTCGTCCATAAGAAAAAAGAAATCTCAATTCTATTTTCTTTATAAGAATTTTTTTAACTTAACACTTATAAAATAAACTAGAGAAGAACAATTTGATCGAACAATTATTTAAATCTATACACATGCATACGGAAAATGATACGAATGGAATTAGATAAGTGGAAAATAGTTAGAAATATTATATTATCGCATAGTAATGTTTTATACGAGTAATAGTTTTAAATTAGAATAAACTATTAAAATTTGTCAGTGTTATATAATAAAAATCATTTAAGGCCCTCTCCCGGGTCAGAACCCTGTCTCAGCCCAGGTAGCTCTGATCTAAACTAAACTTTCAGGGAATGTTGATCATGTCAAAGTATGATGACAAAATTTTTTTTTGCGCCACTTGTAACTGTCCGTGAGAGGGCGCCACTACAAGAGCCAAAAATGGGCATCTACCACCTGCAAGAATTTTCATTCCAGGAAAATGATAGAGAGCTCGGGCTGGTTTTGTTTTGCAGTAAACACTTATGGCTAGGAGTTGACAGAGCCCGATTTTTGAATTCCTCTGCTGCTGATTTCTGGTGCTTAGTAGAACTTTAAAGTCCGAAAAATCCTTGGAAGATTTCTTAGAAATCTTCATTTCTATAAAAAATGGAAGCATAATTTAAAAATCTGACTCTGTTAACTCGTACCTATAGGCGTTATCTACAAATCAAAAAAAACATTTTCTTTCTCCGATGTACCAGTACCGAGAATTTCTGCACGGGGGGAAAGCCCTGAAGTCGTAAGGAAAACGCAAAATAAATTTTGGTTCTGTAAATGCGTTTTTCTTGAAAACTCTTTGAACGTTAAATATTTTGTTGATATTTTGCTAGAGGTTATCGGTCATGGCGAATCTAATGAACATGGACGCGGACATGTGCGACACATGCCTGCCCTTATGTGATACAAGTGCAAAAAAGCCATTTTTTTAGCTATGGGGCTTCTGAAAAACTCGCTCAAAACCTATGAAAAATCTATCCTATCGACATAAAAATTATGTCATTAAAAAGTAGACACTGTGGGCTATCCAATCATGTGCTTTTCTCAAAGTCGATCGTTTTGACGTAAATCGGCATTTCTGACCCGAGGGGTTTTAGATTAACTGACCTTTATACAATAGAAATATACTTTATAGTCTACTTTTCATTAATTTTATGTCATCTTGTAAACAAGTCAAATGTAGTTGTTATATTCTAATTATCATAAAAAATGTAGCTTCAGTGTAAATAGGAAAATCTGTTCGCATTGAGATCTAACTTTAATTATAACCTAATACAATTAAGAAAGTACTTTAAAAAAAATAAGTACTTCAGATCTTTTTGGATGGATGTGTATAAATATGAACATAAACGCGAACATAGTCATTTTAGTTTATCTTTTTTGTTCTCTCGTTTTAGAGACATTACTTTGTTGTTGATCTCTTCTAATCTTGGCACTCTTGTTCGTTAATCATATAGTACTAGAAAAAGGAAAGAATAAGATAAAATGAATAGTATTTAATAATAAAAAATATAATTCGCAATGAAGGAAAAAAATAGCTCAATATTGCACAATACATTTTTTTCTTTTTTCTTTCTTTTTGAACTAAGAATGTCTAATTCTAAATCACTCTCACTCTCTATCTATTGAACTCTTACAAAAAATAGCCAATAGACTCTATTTCACTAACATTCTTTAACTAATTTGGATATGGTCCGATTTCTCTCTATTAATAACAAGGTTTTTCTCTCTTTTTCTCTATTCAGTATTACACTATTATTAAGATTGCGTGTCTTCTGTCTTCGTTTCATTTTGTTCTCTTTTTCACTGTAATTTTTTTTGAGGATCCGTAAAATATAGATATATAACTAACTATACACACAAAGAAAAAGAAAATATAAGAGAAAATCATTGATAATATAGAAATCTATAGATAGACCAGAAAGAAGAAGTCTTATGTATTTATTGATGAACAAGTTAAATTATGGACATTTTTGAGAGATTGGCACAGAGAAAAAAAGACGATGATGACTACTAATATGGACATTGTGTGAGAACGAAGTCCCTATGGTAGTAACAAACAAAGAAAAGAAGAAGAAGCATCGTTTGTACCAATGATTGATACACTAATACAAATATATACAATTATACATTCACAGCAAGATCCCTCCCGTTTTTTTTTTCATTGTGATTATCATTTCAGTCTACATATGAATTACCGGATATATTACCTGATGAAAATATTGTATCAACTTTATTATAGTGTCATTTGAAAAGACAAAGAACAAAAGAAGAGAAAGAAAAGAAACATTAGAAGATCTTTATCAACAATTCAAACATCTTTATAACAAAAAATCAATTTGTTATGATAATAACTTATTAATTATTACTGCCAACACCATTATGAATATAGTAAGTATAGTTCTGATTACACTCATAAAATCATTTTGTTCTATTAAAGAATAGACAGACAACATATACTAAAGAATAAATTAATTAAACACATTATTTTTCTATATCATTTAATAACATTATTTCATTCTTTATTAAAATTTGAGATTTATGATCAATTAATAAAATATTACAATCATTGTTCTTCTCTTCTTTGTCACTGTTGCTAATCTATTTTCTCCGCAATCTGGTGCAAGTGAACAACCAGATTATTGAACAAATTTCTCCAGTTAAGTAGTCTGAGGGCCGTGGTTTGTCTCAAATAATATTGTAACTATGCAGCATATGATGAGGTCTCTATTCATACATAATTTCACGTTATTAGCTAACATTGCTAAGATAAGAATACTTTTGTAGAGTATTGTATGTCCTGATCACTTGGGATTTCTGATTGGAATATGGGGTATGGTTTTGATTTTTCCTCTGAGAAATGATCGATGTATATCAGTACAATAACGTATTAGCCTCTATATGTTTATGTTGATATGTGAATCTATTTCACTAACATAAATAAAAAATCATTTTTCACCTGACAACAATTTGAAAGACAAAAGCTTCATTTCTTTTATCATATCAATAAAGATGATCAAGATAAGACACACAACAATTGCTGATATTTTAGCATAATTAACAGATTATATAATACTCGCAAGTATATATACAAAAGTGCGTGCTATAAAATAATATTAAATTATAGCGATAAATAATCTTTCTCTTATACAGTAACTATCGTTAATGTCATAAACAGCCGAGAAGAAGAAGTTAAATTTACTAATCGTGCATATTGCTTCTTTAATCTTCTGCGACATATCATATAAGATAGATATCTTTTTGCCTTTGCATGAGCCAGAGAGATAGATACATCAGAAGTATTCGAATAATGTTATACTTGATTGATCGTTGATTGTTATTGTTCAACGAATAAAAATCTCTCTCTTCTCTTTTTTACTCATAATAGCCGGCAGTAATCATCACCCGAATAACATAGGTATTCACACACACACACACACATACACACACTCATTCAACTGAAGCTTTTTTTCCTCGTATTGTTCAAGAGAAAAGTTATAGACATTGATGAAAGAGAAGTAATGGTGATAAAGTATGTAGTATATTAAAAAGAATTAACGCGCCGTAAACACTATTCATGAATTTCATCATAATGAGAGAAACAAAAAAATTTATTGTATGATGATTTTAGTGTTTAACAGGAGGATTCTCTTTAATGTACAAATAATAGAAAGCTAAGGACCACTATAGAATCGATGATGACACTAAACGGTCAATAAAAAAATGACTGCATTTTTTATAAACTTTTTTTTTCTTCTATCAGCAGGTAATTAAATTTAGACTTTTTTATTTACATTTTAGTGTACGCTCTATTTGACTATCATAATAATGTTTATGTCTATTCAATCGGAATTAATTGAACATTTGATATAAAACATGCAATATTTGTTTTTACAAAAATATGAAATTATTAATTATGAGCGAAGTATGCTCAAACGACGTCATCACTACCGTATTCTATACTTTCACCTGACCTATGATTGTATTTTGCTTTTTTTTTTTGGTATGAAAAATAAAAGAGGAGTAAGAAAGGAATTAAAAAACATTTTTAATTGAATTTGATTTGAAAAACAAAGATAAAAATAATACAAATACAATAAAATTGCCAGAAATTGGAATATTTTCTAAAGATTTCTCATGGGATACATAACTTTCTTGTTCATATTTTTTTTGGCTTTTTCTACTAGTCGCAATTTCCGAGATTAAGTAGTCATATTTTTAGATTCATATTCCGTAAAAATAGCATTAGTAAACTTCAGCAGTGCAAAAAAAAAAAAAAAAAAGAATAGATTTTTATTTGAAAAATCCAAATCTATACATAAGTGAGAGAATATGAGTCCGATCCTTGAAGCTGTAGAACTTTACTATAACAAAATTTTTCAATAACAAAGAAATTTTTATCTTGACAACTACATAGCTAGTATGTGTATTTTTCAAATTTCTTTAGAAAATAGATATGAGACAAATGTGTCATTTAGCTTCTAAGAGTCCAATTAGATTTTGAGAAAACTAGATTTTTATCAATGTGGGACGGGACGCAAATTCATTAATCTCATTGATATTAACATTAATGTGCAAGTTTTACTAACGATTTTCTTACTCTTACTTTGTGTTGATTACTTTTTCCTAGAAAAGTAAAGAGAATGACGTCAATCTTAAATCTTAGAAATGTGGTCACATTTTTTATAATTGTTTATATTTGTTAGTTTTTCAATGATATTTTTCTTCTTTACTGGTTTTGGCTTATTTTTTTCTAATAATTTTTCAGATAAAAAAAAGATGAAGAAGAAAACCAATCGGATGCTCGACATTATGAATTAACTTTCTTTTTAATTGATACCTTATAGATTGTAGATTTTTTTGTAATACAAAAAATGATAATTTATAAGAAAAAAAAAATGAATTTGAAAATTTAACATAGATAATAAAAGAAAAATGAACATCAGTATCATTTTAGACTACAAATTAACCATTCTGCCGCCTTGTGATTATAATTTGAAGATTTCTTGACTATAGAAACGCCTTTAGTTACATGTTTGCGTGTTTGAATAAATAATGAAGACTATACGATAGAATTGATCACTAATTAATATATGATGACACAATGTGAGAGAAAAAAAGAAAATTTCATTATGATTCTAATACAAGAGAATAAGTTTTCTTTTTTTTTTTATTATTCTTTTTCTTGATTATTTTAGTCCGTTATTGTTGAGAAATGGGTTAATTGAAAAACAATTTTTTTATTTAATAATATATGGATATATTTGGTATACTAAGAAGATTACCAGAAATTGTTGCCTATAATAAGTTTGATGATGATCTCTACGATAGATTAAATTATGCTCATACAGTTGTTATACTAACAGTATTTGCCATTATTGTAACAAATAAGCAATTTAGTGAAAATCAAATCAAATGTTGGGTACCCGCTCAGGTAAAATGAAAATATCTATTATTCATCTTTGTTTAATTTGACTTTATTTTGAACATTATTTTATCTATGTAATGTTTTTTTTTAGTTTACCGGTAATTATGAGTCGTATGTAAATCAAATATGTTTTATAACAAATACCTATAGTTTCGATATGCATGAAATGATATCTGACGATGATCAATTACGTCATGAACGTGAATTAAAATATTATCAATGGACACCATTTATCTTATTATTAATGGCCATACTATTTTATGTTCCACATCAATTATGGCGTGGTTTAAGTTTAAGAAGTGGTGTAGATATTAAAGATTTAATTGACGCAGCATATAATTATCGTTCATCAACAACACGTCGAGATGATAGAATTAAATTATTAGATTATATTTGTAATTGGTTAAATGGTTATTGTTCAAATGGTTATCGAATATCGATACATAGTGGACACAGTGTTCAACAGGATTCAAAAAAGAAACAACATCGTTTTTTACATATCATTCGAAGAATTAAACATGTATTAAAATATTTACTATTTCCAGTTGGTATTTATACAGGAAATTATCTTGTTATTAGTTATTTATTTATTAAATTTTTATATCTTCTTAATTCAATTGGACAAATTCTTCTTTTAAACGCGTTACTTGGAAGACAATTTTGGTATTATGGTGTTGAGTTAATTCATCGATATTTGACAAAACAGATTGGACTTTTACATACGGGTTCAGAATATTTTCCAAAAGTTGTACGTATATCATCGCATTTTTTGATTCTTTTAAAGCAGGCAGAGAGATACTTGTTTTCTTGTAGAAATGATCTTGCAATAAATATATAGTGTATTCAAAAAGTTCCCAGACTGATTTTATTTTATAAGAACGAAAAGCGTTGTAATGCTGAGTTTATTACCACTTTGTAGTTCATACAGTCCTTAATCTCTATAGACATTACGAGTTCTGGTTGATTAGACATTTATGCGGTATAATAACAATATGTTTTAGATCACATTGTAACCAATGTTTCAGATTAAACAAGCCCAGTATGTTGTTCATAACTTTTTTTTCTTTCATTTCCAAGAACCAGTCTTCTATGTAGAAGATGTGCCTTGAAATTCTCTATGAAAAACACATTGAATGTTCTGCTATAAAATGTAAAAAAATGGAACGTTATATGAATGATAGTGAGAAGCTCTAAAATGCCACATCGGTAACGCAGAAAACAGTTTCATTAATTTGTCATTTCCATGAGTTGTTGAAAAAGTCAGAGATTCAATTTGTAGCCCTTGAAAAGCTCTATCTTCTACATATGATTAGAAGTTTCTTGCGAACAACTGATTGCATGAGAATATTTTTAGTTTTACTCGTTATACCAAGGAATCCTCATTTCAGATAGCAGTTTCACACCATTGTGTAAAATCCTCATAACTCTTCCGAAATTAAACATTTTGAGTCAGGACCTATTTATTTTTAAACAAAATGATATACTTATTATATCCAAATGCAAAAAGTTCAATGACTTTCTTTCTTTCAATATGCTGAGCGAAAAGATCAAATTTTCTTATTTTCCATTGAATTTCAACAAAGTGATCTTTTGTATCGTAAAACTAAGTTTGAACGAAATCTATCAGATACTATAAGAAAGAGCACACTTAATAGCATCCTGCTTAAGCGCTTTAAAAGAAAACTTGAATTTTCTGAAAAATACGGCACAGGTTGACATGTTAGAGCTTCTCACTATTATTCATATAGCGTTCCATTTTTTTATATTTCATAGCAAAACATTCAATGTGTTTTTCATAGAGAATTTCAAGACACATCTTCTACAAAGAAGACTGGTTCTTGGGAATGAAAGAAAAAAAAGTTATGAACAACATACTGGGCTTGTTTAATCTGAAACATTGGTTACAATGTGATCTAAAACATATTGTTATTATACCGCATAAATGTCTAATCAACCAGAACTCGTAATGTCTATAGAGATTAAGGACTGTATGAACTAAAAAGTGGTAATAAACTCAGCATTACTACGTTTTTCGTTCTTGTAAAATAAAATCAGTCTGGGAACTTTTTGAACCCACTACGCAATACTCTTTTTTTTTGCAGGTTTTATGTGACTTTAATGTTCGTGAACCAAATCATCCAAAAGAGAGTCATCGATATACAGTGCAATGTGTACTTCCGTTTAATCTGTTTAATCAACAAATATTCACCTATTTGTGGTAAGATCTTTTTTCATTGGATATTTTTTACGCAGATAATTCTTCTCTAATTCATGTTATTTAGGTTTTGGTTAGTTCTATTGTCTCTATTTAATGGTGTATCAATAGTCATCTGGTTATATCGTATGTCACCATTCAATAATCTTCAATATCTCGAACGTCGTTTACCAAAATTAGATGAAGCTGACATTCGACGTGTATTCGTCTATCGATATTTACAAGGTGATGGTACATTTATGTTACGTTTAATTGCGTCGAATGTTAGCGATTATGTGTGTAATAAAGTTATTGCCGAAGTTTATAAAACATTTAAAACTGCCTTTGAGTCCGGAACAATTGAACAACAAACAATCACAAAACGATCAAAAACACCAGTTAATGAGAATATAGATGACAATAACAAACATAAACCTCATTCGGAAGTCAAAAGTCAACACAATTCTACAAACAACGACGATGATCAACAAACACGAGTAGATCGACCTATTTATACACGATCTGCAGGATATTTACCAACAGAAGGTGTGAATGTTGAACATCTTTCGTCGACAACTGAAGATGAACATGCAATTTTGAAACCATTACCAATTATAAGAACCGGAAAATTATCTATTGAACGTAATACGATTGCTCCAGTGTTATCGGCTTCAACATCTCATCCACCTTATCTTAGTTCATCGGAGTATAGTGATAATTCTGATAGTTTAGATACAACAAAAGTCTCCTATAGCATCATTCTACCACGAAAAGAGGAACAACAATCTACTCCAAAACTGAGGCAACGAAACGAAACATCGCTCAAACAAGATGAATTACAAACAGATAAATTGTCTCTAAATAAAATTCGTCGAATGTCAGATACTCAAATAGATATTACTAGCAAGAAAAATGTTGACTTTAATAGTGAAACTAAACCATCTATTACTACCCCTACTCCAACCATGATACAACCTTTCCGTACAACGATACCTACACCTTATGCTACAACATATCTTCCATTAAAAACAAAAAATTTATTAGTAGGCAGTGAGGCTGAAATGCCTTACATCGATGATAGTATCGCCAGCTCGTCATCTGCTCGATCAACAACGTTAGCTTCTAGAATTAGTATGCCAGAAACTCAACGAATCGTATCATTCTCAGGTTTGACACGTAGTCACGATGTGTGAGTGAATGAATCTCAGGAAAACAAATATTGATCCACAAACGTCCAACGAATTGCTTAGCTGTTTTTCTTCTTTTTTTTTTGCAAATTTGTACAATACAGTGATAATGTTTTATTTGCTGTTTTCCTTTGGTTTACTTCTATTTTTATAAAAAATTCTAATTAGACTATAAAAGATATGAAATGAATGTATTTGGTAGCTTTGAATGATTGAAGGTTTCGGAAATCATAGGTAGTAATGTACAATCTAAGGTAAGATGTTAGGTCTAAGCAGATACGAGTTGATCGAATTCAGAAAATAGAAATCATATGATATCATAATTGATCGTAAGTTGGTTGTGACTTAGTTTTGAATTTGGCAAATTGACTGTATAGTGGTATACTGTGAAGAGATGATTTGTGTAAAACAAATCTCTTATAAATGTATACACCCGTACACGATAGAATCAACAAGAAAATGATCACAAGTGAACAAATAATAGCAATTAGACGACTATGCTTGTCAGGTTTTTTAATCGGTGTTGGTGATGGTGCCCATCCTGCACATTCATTTGGACAACAACAACGACTTCTAAGTTCAAAATTGTATACACCATCTTTCATATTGATGGCAGTTAGAACGCTGGTTGTATTATTTTGAGTACAAATTAACTTTACTTGGGTTAATAACTGTGATTCATTCATAACACGATATGCAATATACGATATATCTTTAACAGAAAATATTGTTGGCTCAATATTGCCAATAGGGATTGCTGATGAAATATTCGATTGACATACATAACTGTTTAGACAATCGAATTCATTAAATATTGAACATGGCTCATAGGAATAAAGATAATCATCGAAGGGATCTTGTGATTTTATATTTCGAAATAATGGTTGTCCATCTCTGCTAGACAATGTACGAAGATCAATGATACCATCAGATACTGAAAATTGACATATACCTGATGTAGTATTAATAAGTAAAATAATGATTAAGAAGATGCACAGTTTCATCAGAGAAAAACTTAAAATTTTTAACTCAGGAAAAATAAACAGGTGATACAAAAGAGTTTATCTCATCAGAAGCGTGTGTGTGTGTTGACAAAAGAAAAAAACATTCTCATCAAGTTTTTCTCATCAAAAACATTTTTCATGTTTTTTTCTTTTGAATGTCATATTCTGAATATAATGACATCGAAATTAGAAGAGAAGTCACAAAATTAATTGCTTCAGCAAATAGATAATAAAATAAGCCGACAGTCGTTTCACTCTGTCGGCTTAAAAAGTTTGAAAGTAAATTCACTCTGTGATTTTGTTTCGGAAGGGCTCTTTATCAATTATAAAAGATAATTACATCGATGTTTTTCATTGACAATAAGTTTAAATACATACACTTTCTTCCTCGGTAACTGCGTGAACATTTTATTCTTCCAATTCTTTTCGATTTTGAGCATTTTTTGTTAGACATTTTCTTTGTTTCTATCGCTTGCATTTGTTACCCTCGTGACAAAAAATTGATATTAATGATGAACGAATAACGAAAATAATTGATACAGCATCAGTATCAAGAGGCAATAGGTGAGAGAAGTAACCAATGTTCTTTAGAATTTGACAAGAATTTCAGCTTCAAAATGCAGACTTATTTTTCTTGTGTGTCCCTTATGTGTAAAATCCATTTATAGTTTTAAAAATTTCACTCTTTAGAAGTGATAATATTCAGTTATGATATGAACATATGAACTCTCTAATTTCAGAATCTGTATCACATTATACTGTACTATTGATTTTTGTAGATTTTTACAATTTTTCAGACAATTTAAAAAACAGACTTCTTGAACTGAGAAAAAGAGATCGACAAACAAGAATATTAGTAAATAATTATGAAACAATCCAAAGTTATCTAAAATCGAACTCGACTTCCTTTATAGACGTGTCAGTAGATAAAAGTTTGACAGCTAGATGAGAAATTATTGACGAGATTTTTTGAAATCCTTAAGGATAGATAACAGAGTATATTCGATATAAATTAGTGTCTTTTTGCATAGAAAACACGCATACACGAACCCCTGTAGACACGTTTATTATGGAAAATAAAATTTTAAAGCCAAGAAAATGATCGATCCCGTTAATGTAATAGTTATAAAAACGGGAAATTATCGCAGCTCACTATCAGCAAGATCTCAAATACATTTGCAAGTGTTCTCTCTCATTATATGTGATTTAATAGAATTTTCTCTTGTATATAATCGTTGATGTAGAAAAAAATTCAGCTAAAAAGTATACAATGCGATAATACAGACTTTCTATTTATTGTTCTGTCGACATAATCATTTTCGTAACTTGTCTTTTTCTAACTGTTATGGTGTGAAAACTGTGGTATGCAAAAATACCACAGTTTTCAACACACTAGATTTCTAAAAGCGTTTTTTATTTAAGAAGGAAATCATGTTTTTAAAAAACAAACCAAAAAAACTTGTCCTAATTTTAGGTGTATCGCATCTGTGATAAAATGTTGACCTTTATCGGTCAGCTCCTCCTCAGCTAGTTTTGTGGAAGTCTCATCAGTTTTTGTGTTTTGTTTTGCGTTTTTCTCAAAACTACTTTTTCTACGATGAACTTGCTCCCTGCTATAGCCCTAAAGAACTTTCAGAGCGTCGAAGGAGCTGTTCCACCCGAAAGAGGAATATCGATAGCCTATAAATCAGTGAATAACCAAAAATCGATTTTTTTAAATTTTCGATCCACAAAAGGGGGGGGGTAGTAATAGATGGTTTAGTTTCACTATTAAAGTCAACATTTTTCTTGCTAGTAATATCTATTTGAGTATCTGACATTCGACGAATTTTATTTAGAGACAATTTNCCCCCCCCCCCCCCCCCCCCCCCCCCCCCCCCCCCCCCCCCCCCCACCCCCCCCCCCCCCCCCCCCCCCCCCCGCCGCGGCCCCCCGCTTGTCCTTAAAGAAGTTCCTTGTCTGCTATGTTTTTGAGGTGAATTTTGCCGAAGTAAACGTGGTGATTTTATATATATCATTACTTACACAAGTGTGTCTAAGAATAAATAAATATTTTAATAATCATCTATTTCAATAACAGTTTTCGAAGATCAAGCCGCAAAAAGTTATACAGTAATTATTTTTGAGTGAAACAGATGTGAGATTGTGCCATTGACGAAGAGATAAAAATAAAAATGTTCAGTTCAGAACATGTATTTTACACTAAGCAGTCTCTGATAGGATAGTAATAATATTTCTCTATGAATGACATTGAGTTTCTTATATTTTCAAGTTAGTTCATTTTTAACTATTAATGTTCAAGAAGTATTATTTTTTGTTTTATATGAAGGAATTTTTCAATCACAAGTGAAATAAATTTACACTTAATATAAAATTAATGTATCTGTGTATCAGCTGCATGGTCTTCTTTCTTTTTCCTTTCTTCATTCTCTTCGCTTCAAAAGTATTAGAGTTGTTGAAAATATTTTCTTACGTCGTCTCCATGGGAGATTTGAGATACAAAATAAAGAAAAGGTGAATATAAGATACAGACAGCAAACATTCTCAAGAATAAAACAGTTTCTTTTTTCTTTTCTCTCTAAAATCGAAGGACAACTATTTCTTAAGACAAGAAAACTTAAAATCTGGTAATAATCTTATGGATGTTATTGGGTGTATATCATTAAATATGATTTGTTTGATGTACATCACAACCTAAAGCAGAAGTATCAGATTGTTTTTTTCATATTTAGATCTTTATTGAACTGTAACACAATCCTTTTACAATTAAATCAACTAATAATAAAATCGATTTAGAATGACTCGTATGGCATTTGATACTCGTACGCAAAATGCATGGAAAGAACAAATCGAAAAAGAAGCAATGACTCGTGTTCAATGGCATCAAACATTCAAGCCAGATGAAAATGATGATGAGTGGTTTAAACGTGCGTTCTATACCCAAAAGAAGCCTATTCACAATACGCTACCAACAATCATTTTACCACCACCTCCAAAAAAACGATACAATCCCAATGATACCATGGATGAATTAGCAAAAAAATTAGATGTTGAACATAATCCCGATATACTTAAAGAAATGCATCCCGTATCGAAAGATTTAAAACAAGTATTATTCGATGGATTTAGTAAAGAAGAAAAAGGACGTTATAAATATTTGAATATTCGAAAACAAGAACAACCCGAACAAAAATTTCAATATCCAATAACATCGACAATGGAATATGGTTGGAAGTTAAATGATAGTGGTCAAAAATTTCGAGCTCCCATGCATGCACGAGGAAAAATAGTTGAAGAATCATTTTATAGAAGAAACGGTGTTTTCGAATTCAAATCATAATATGCAAAACAGAACATAAACATTCACGTTCTTTTGCATTCTGAATTATTTTTCTGTTATACTAAAATAGTATGATACAGTGTACATGCATAATTTGTATCTGTATTCAATGTTTAAAACCATTCAGATTTAATAAGTTTAAATCAAAGAGACATGATTCTCATAATTATTTAACTTATTAAAATATCACTCTGCATATTAATAAACTTTTAAATTACTGGGTAAAGGACTTCTTAATGTTTCGTATCTATGTTCTTATTTATCGAATATTATTTACTGTTATTGTATTTGTTGCTGACTCAAGATGATTTCTTAGAAATAATACAAGAAATATTACTGTTAACAATTTCAAAATAATTTGGAAATCTTTATTTGATGTTCTCGATGACAATCAATGGATTATTATATAAACATTCCACAATTAAACAAATACACAGCAAATACAAATAGTGTAAGAAATGAGAAGACACGTAAGAGTTACAAATAAAATTTTTCATATGATGTCACAGCTATAGTATCACTGTCTCAAACGAGAAACTAACCCCATTTCGATAATAATATTGAAAATCTTGCGTGAAACTAACTAACAGTTAAACAATATGGTTGTAGAAATACTTTTATAGTTGGAGATTGATGGTCAAATGAAAATAAAACAAATTCAAATAATGTTATATTCATACTATACTATGTATTGATATTCGAACCATTTACTGTTGTTAAGAATGATTTTTGAATGACTAATATAATAATATCAGACCAACGTAAAACGAAAAAGAGCACCATTAACACATGTATACTCGTTGACGTCTACCATTCATCAATTTCTTAACTTACTAAAGCAAATGATTAAAATTATGCTATGTATATTCGCTCTTCGTGATGAATTTACACACTAGTAAGGCATACGTATCAGCACTTTTTTTTCTTTCAGTATATCTGTTTTAAGACACTCTAAGTTCGAATTTAAAATCTTGAAAATACGAAAACGGAAATATTACTTATATTGATTGTATTATCCTGGTTTATTCAAAATAGGATTTTTTATCAGTCAAACTAGAACCATTTTTGGACTATCATTTAGTCAAGATAATCTCTTGATAAATTGTTCCATTAAATTTTGTGAAATCGCATACTATCGAAAGCTTATCTTGACGCTATGATATGTATGGACTTAGCTTCGACGTAGCTTCACTTTTGATGCATTTATATAGTGAATGAATGGGCGAATGATTTTATTTACGATAAGATAAGATTTTATTTTAGTCAAGAGTAGGATATCACAAAAAAGAACAAAAGACTTACGGCATCCGGTGGATACCCTGTGATAACCTAAAATGCGTCTTTATAGACGAACTGGAAAACTTTATTATCAAATTCTGTTAGAAGAGCATTCGAAAGACTGTGATCTACGGATACAAGAAAAGTCAGATGAAATTAATACATTGATTGAGAACACGACTGCTACTCATGCAGGTACCTCAAGAGGGTGGAAATCCATCAAGCCCTTTTTAAATGACCGTTCTGATCGAATAATACCTCCCCTAATCGAAAACAAAGAAATAATTAACGCTTCCAAAATAAAGGCTAAATTTTTTAATGACTACTTTCTTGCACAAACTAAACTTGATATTCCGATAAATCACGTAACACCGCCAGCCATAAGAAAGAGTGAATTTACGATAGACCATGTTTCTACAAATGAAGCTGAGATATGAAAAATTTTAAGTCGGTTACCTAACAAAAAATCCCCCGATTTGCACAACGTCACTAATTTTATCCTAAAGGCATGTAAGGACATCTTACCAAAACCTTTATCAGACCTCCTAAACTACTCATTAGATCGCAGTTACTTTCCACTGTTATGGAAGTTGGTGTGTCGAAGGACACACCTCGTCCTACGGAATGGTTGAATCAGGAGTGCCCCAGAGATCAATCTTGGGACCGCTCCTTTTTCTCATTTATTTCAATGACATCGCTAATTTGGACTTAAAAAGCAAGTTATATCTATATGCGGATGACACATCTATTTTTTCATATAGTGACACCAAACGACTCTGCATCTTCCCTAACAATCCAGGATGACTTGGATAAATTAAATGACTGGACAAACAAATGGTTAGTCACTTTCAGCACACAGAAAACAGAAGAAATAACATTTTCATCTATTGAGCGAAACGCAACGTTTTATCCGCTTTCCTTAAACAGTAACACGCTAAAACAAGTGACAGAGCATAAACATCTAGGACCCGTTTTGGATCAGCACTTAACCCTTTCTTGTCCTTTGGTCCCTATAGGAACCATGTTATAAAAGTTTTATTTTTTTTGAACTAGAAGGCTTTTAACGAGGAATCTTATGTCACCTTTAAGAGTAACTATCGTGGACTGTATAACAAGAATCTAAATCTAATCTTTATCCCTAAATT